TCAAAGGCAATCTGCCGTGCATCAGGCGTTCTTGTCCATGGCTCCTCGGCGACTTCCTCTACCGCTCGCGGCCCTAAAGCAAAGGCGAAGTCAGAGCCAGGACCGTCGTCCCTCTCTTCAGGCTCCTCGCCCTCTGCTGCTCCGCGCCCAGCGGATTCGGCTTCGGCTTCGGATGGTCTCCCGGATCCCGACAGCGCCGAGCTTGATGAGATCTCGGCCCGATTCTGGGCAGATTCCTCGGATGAGGCGGCGGATGCAGATGCTTCTCCTCGCGCGACAGCGGGCACAGGTTCAGCTTGCGGTGTGCGTAATGGCCCTCCGCCACCCATGCCGGTCAACAGGCCAGCTGCTGCGGCTCTGGCTCCGACTGCAGCACCCATTGCAGCGGCCCCTTATATGGTGGGAGGGCGTGCCTTGCCGCAGCCTCCTGGCTGGAGCGAGGTCTCTCGGGATGACTTCCGCATCCTCGCAGCCATTCCGGTCGGAGTCCTTATGCGTTACGCTGCTGCATATCTCTTCACAGACACGGCAGCAGCAGCACGTCGTGCATAGGACCCTTTGCCAGTGGATGTTTGCAGCCTGCTCTGTCGCGCGGCAAAATAACTGCACTGGCCTCTGCCAGGCGACTGCTCTCCTCATCCCCTGCCCTGCCTTAGCTCGACTTGTCTCCCCTCAGGTTCTCTTCATTGCAGACAAGGCCCTGCAGGCTGACCTTTGGCCAGCTTCCCACACATGCGCTCGGCTGCGGCCCGCAGGTCGTGCTCCGGTCCCTGGTCCCCCACAACATGTGGCCCTGTGCTCGGCCAACGCTCAGACCTTACCAGCTCGGTCATTGCATGCCACAACCGCCCTGCACTGCTTCAAGCTTATGTGCTGCATTGATTGGCTGCATTGATTGGCGTATGGGCTCAGATCCCTGGAGCACTTCATCTAAGGTAGGCTGGCTTCGAGGATCCTGCTTTGCAGACATGGGCCTCCTGAAGCGCTGCCAGCGCCAACAAGCACGGGCTGGGCAGCATAGCCGTGCCTCCTCGGAGACGGCCTCTTCGGGGGCGACTTTGCACCCCTCTGACAGGGAGTACTTGGAGAAGATCTGCCCGGAAGTCTTTCTTCCACCACCAGCCCACTGGAGGCTCTCCCCATCCGAGGTCAAGCTTGCGGGGTACATCAAATGGGACGGGGAGCCTTCCCCCCTCACAGTGTTCCTTCGGCCAGTTCTCGCACAGGTGTGGGCGGCCCCCAGACCAGAGCTCTCGGATACCGCGCGCCTAACCCCTTCGAGGACCACGCGAGACAACGACGAGGAGACAGAGGAGGTTCTGGTTGAGGCAGAAGGGCCGTCAGCCCCTTCCAAAGCTGCGCTGCCCAGGCTGGCTCCCATCGCTCCGACCCGCCACCGGCTGTCAAGCCTGTCAAAGCTAAGTCCATGCCGAAGGGCC